CCAGCCCCCAGCAAGGAGCCAGCCTCATTACACCCCTGGGATTTCCTGCTTGGTGCTTGCTCATGGACCATGGAGACTCATTTATCAGAGGGGGTTTGTTCCTGCCAGGTTCAGCACCCTGAGTCACCAGCAGTTTTCTCAGCATTGATCTGATCTGCAGCTTCCCTGCAATCCTGAGTGGCAGAGGGAATATTTTTTCCCCATCTGGGTCTGCCTGCCCACAACCTGACTTCCTCAGTGGGGTGAAATTCCTTTCCATCCAGCCAGCCCTGCTGCCTGGGGCTGTCAGTGCAGCCCAGAGAAGAGCCCTGGCTAGATTGGCAGCAGATGGCTGCAGCACAGAGCATCACATCACACCCTCAGGGCCACCCTGGTGTCCCAGATTCAGCAGTGCCATCATTCTCCTGCCTTGCCCACAAAGGAGAGGTGCTTCCAAAGCCAGCTGAAAAGCAGAGCATGGTTTAATAGCAGAGAAATGTAAATTGAGAGACATTACAGGGCCTGACTCCCTTCCCATGCTGCTGCCTTCCCATGGGCTGCCCTGGCTCAGCAGCTCTGCAGGATCAGAACTGGGTGTGTGAGCAGGTTCTTGCTGAGCAGGGCTTGCTAGCAGCAACAAAACTAGAAATCCTCCAGAAATCAGAGCTGTTATCTCCCAACTCTGAAACGGGCAAGGTTACTGAAATAGGCAAAGGTTACTGAAATAGGCAAAGGACTCAGCTGCCCAAAGGGGCTGCAAAAGCACCCCCACCACCTGCTTTTGAAAGCCATCAAGGTGAAGTGAAAAGCCTGGGGCATTCTGTCTCCTTGCTTTCTTCACCCTCTCTGCTCTTTCTTTGCCAGCTGCTTTCCAGCACTGCTCCCATCTGAGTTTACCATCATTCACAAGGGCCTGGGCAGAAAAGCATCCACAACACCAGGTGGTTTATGGTGCTGCTCATTGCAGGACACGTGGCCAGATGGACCCACCATCCCTCCCACAGCAGTGGGAACCTCACTCCCCCTGTGTGGGAAGGGCTGCTTGTGCAGGATCCCTCTGTAGGTGGGAAATGTGGGACACCAAGGGCTGGACTGAGCCCACCAGATCTGACCAGCTGAGCTGTTTTACCTCACAGAGAACGTGGCCTTTGTTGGGGTCCATGGTGAGTGCCAGATTGTCATTCAGCCAAGCCCAGCAGGAGTCAGCAAGCATAGGGTTGATGCACCTGCTAATGCAAATCCCAAAATCTCCTGGATAATGAGAGAGAGCACAAGCATCAGAACCTCTAGGGAGAGCCATAAAAACCTGTCCCTGTGTCGTCATCAGTTCCAGGAAACAAAAAATGGATCAAGGTCTATCAACACACCCCTGCACACACTCATTGGACTTCTAGGTGACTTTCTATGAAGCTCCTATTTTGAGCAGTGATCAATTATGCATTTCAAGCCATATGGCACCTTCATTCCAGAAGGAAGGCATTTTGTCTTGAAATCTGTAAGCTAGAAAATCTGCTGCATCCTGACAAAAATGCAACATTGCCAGTTACTCACAGAAGCAGATCATTAAGAAAAAGAAAATTAAAACAGGATAAGTTTAATCAGATGTCCAGTTTTCATTGAAATACCCTTGAAAAGGATATATACCCTTGTATGTGCACTTCCAGTCTTTTTTAAAATTCATCTGAGTCAGAGCTTTGATTTTTGTGGGTAACCTGATACAATATACAACATTCCCAATTTAGCAGAAGGATCTCTTCCAGCATGGATCTCCTCCAGGCACAAAAGCACTGAAGTCCTCTGGATAGATATGCTACCAGAATTGACAGCAGTCCTGCACACTAGCAGAAGTATCATTCCCATCCCAGGAATTATGGATGAGAAATGTAGAAAAATACTGCTCTCCAGTGGAGCCAGAACATCCAAGGCACTTCTGAGAGCAGCAACAGGTGATGCTCCTGACATTTTTTATATGGCAGCAGGCTGTTCCTTCTCCCATAGCCTCCTACAGCCCAGGTTTCATTCCAGAGGATCAGTAAAATGGTGCTGCCTCTCAGTTCTCTGCTTGGAGTGAGACAACAATGAGGTGAAATTTAAGAGTTGTTTTAACTCGTTGCCCCTCACCTGGTTCAGCAAAGGCAGCAATAAGTAAAAGCTGTTTTGATTGCTGCCCCAAGGCCAAATAATCACCAGCAACACTGTGTTCTCCCAAGGAAAGCAAGCTGGTGAGCACTGACACAAGTGTAACACCCAGCCACAAGGAGCTCCTTGGGGCAGCAGGACAGACTGGAGAATGCTCTGGGGAAGGAGCAAGGTGAAGGTCAGCAGGCACACCCAGTGCTCTGAGTGCTCACAGCCCCAGACATTCACCCACAGGTGCTGTGACCCCCCTGCTTTGCCAGGTATGACCTTGCAGGTGGCAGAAGCAGCAGCAATCCCACCCCAGCACTGAGGCACAGCCTCACTGTGCTCCTACAAAGGACTTTGGACTGTGGCCCATTTCCAGAGCCAGCATAGGAGGCTTTCTTTGTGCAGGCTTTTCAGTGAAAGCACACCCAGAGCGCTGGGAATGTTTATTAAACCCTTTCTTCCTGGTTCTGCAGGTCACTGTAGCTGTTTGGAGAGATACACCCAGAGCTCAAGGCTTCCCAGGAAGAGGTAAGGATGGTTAACTTGCAGCAATGTGCTCTCTGTAAATAACTGCTGGGATCAAGGTTAAGCTCTTTGTGCTTGAGTGGATTTTAATCTGAGCAAAGAATGTGTGGGCAAAGCTCTGCTGATGCAGAGCCCTCCAGGGATCCCTGGGACGGCTCCCAAGCAGCTGGGTGCCTCATTAGGGTGTGAATGAGCCTTTGCTGCAGAAAAGCCACAGAAAAGACAATTGCACCTCCCTGGCTTATTGATTTCTGTTGCGATGGTAACAGCTCACACGGATCCTCACTCCAACACAGCCACCACTCCTCCTGCTCCGGGCTATCCCTTGCACACCTGTGCAATTACACCAGGCTGGCGGGCTGCACTCGGTCCCAGCCGATTCCCGATGCTCTGCCCGTCTCCAGGTCGCAGGAGCTGGCAGCAGGTGGAGCTTCACGGCACGGGCAGCACCTGGCAGGCTCCTCACAGCAAGATTGATGCACTCCCAGCAGCTCATCAGCTCAAACAGCTCCACCTAGAAATCAGTGCCCCTGACAAAACTGCCTCCCCTGGAGCACACACACCTCAGAATACACATTTTACAGAATACACATTTTTCCCAGTGTGGTGACAAGCTCCTGGAGAGGTTCCTCCTCAGCCTGGGCACAGGAAAGTTGGCTATGAACTTACTGTTTCCATTTGGTTTATACCCCACTGTCAGTTTAAAGGAATACAAACCTGGATACCACCAGCAATACTAAAATAAAGAGGTTTCAAGTGGAAAGATTTAATTAGTGATTTGTATGTTGGTAGAAATTAATTCAAGAACATTCTGGGAACTCTCTCAGATGACTCCAGTGCTGCAGGGACTTGTCCCCTTGAGCAAGCAGGGAAAACTTTGACCCCAGGCCTGGCACAAATGGCTTTTTCCCCACCACTTCTCAGATCAGATCTCAATGCCTGATGTCCCCCAGCAGCTCTGAGCTTCCCTGAAAGCTCCACTGAACGTGTCCTTTTCTGCAGCCAGTGCTCACATCCAGGACAGAGGTGGCCCTGCCCATTCCCTGAATTTTCAGCTATCCACCCCCAGCTCTCCTGTCCTGGCACAAGGGGACAGCAGCTGACTCACTGCTGGGAACCAGGGAGAGATGTGCCCATGGATCTGGACAGGATGAGATCTCTGGGCTGGTCAAAGGTGCAAACCTCTCATCCCACAGTCTTGTGAGGGTGCCAATCACTCAGCACATCGAAAACTTTGTAACAACCCAGAGGACAGGGCTCATCTATATCCCAGGGAAACACAAATGGAACTGGTGAAGGAACTGCTTGGCCAAAACAGCAGTGCAGAGTAAGAGCCAAAAAATGAAACTACCACTGGTAACAGCCCAGATTATTCCCCCACCACTGCTGGCTTCTTTCAGACCTACCAGGAATTCACTTTGCCTTATAATATTCAGGGAGCATAGAAGCATGAAATTTGATTTCTTTCTCCTGTAGATGCTGGAGATTATTTTAATTCTAACTTGGTATCACTAAAAGAAAGCTCTTATTCAGTGGTTTAATATAATGTCTTTTAGTATCTGTTGCAGCAATACAATCTCTGCTTTCTTTCCTACAAATGTACTATCTCACCAAAAGATATAATTTGAACAGCAGAATGAAGTGGAATAAAAATATGCAGCAGCAGGCAAATGTCCTTTTCAAACAGGAACCTGCTCTGAGCTATGTGCACTCTGTTCCATCAGATTAGACAGAGCAACAATTCAAATCTCAGCCCCAGTGATCAGTATGGAGAGCAGAAAATGTTCCTTCACCCTTCCCTGGAATTTGGGATGAGCAGATGCACAGGAGAGAGGCAGAAGCAAAAGCAGTGAGCAGGGGAGGTGAGATCTATCAGAGAGGGGACACCACATAAAGAGGGAAAAATTAGAGAACTGCCTTGGCAGAGAGAGCCAGGTACACAGAGAAATGAATCACTGGGTTAAAAACAAAACCAAAAGCAGCAGGGATAACAGGGCAGAACACACAGTGGGAAACACATCCAGAAGATTTACACATTTATTGCCTGCTTGAAACACATTCCTAGGGGCTAGCAGGCCACATTATTTCTGCTTGAACTCAACATTAATTAAGAAAGACTTCAGCTGCATTAGAACATGCAGGAGAAATACCACTGTTCCCAGTTAAATGATGAAAAATTTAGGTGAATAAAAGCAGAATCACTCCCTGAATGGGGTCTGGAACTAGAAACACTCTCCCAACAATGATGAAAGATGAAATGACTGAAAAAAACACTGCCTCAAGTACCCCCACAGGACCCCAGAGTGTTCCACAGCAGGGTGAGACCACCCCAGGGATGGGGACTAAGGCCAGTACTTAATAAAAATCGATTTTTAAGCACAACAGCTTTATTTCCACCTGGCAAGTAACTGCAGTGAGCATATCAGTACTGCCCACAGAAGATTAATCAGTAGTTCAAGAGCTACACAATAAAGGATTGTTTGGTTTGGGTTTTTGTCCCCTTAAAACAAGACTTCACTGTTCTTACAGAGACAGGGAGAACACTTTGGCTGTAACTGTTTTGCCTCTAGAGAAATTAAAACAAAGAAGTTAAGAAATACTTGGGCAAAGCAGACAAAGGCAGTACTTTTGCTCATTTAAAGAAAAATCTTATTTTAGGACAATTAAACTTTGGAAAAAAGGTTCTTTCAGGAAACACTTCCTATTGCAATATGAACAAAATGTACAATATGTACTACATTCAGAGTTATGCTTTCCCTTCATAAGGAGCAAAGTCGTCTGTCTTCATCACGACTTCTTTGGTTTTTCTTCTGATTTCTCATTTATCAGGTCTTTAAATCCCAATTTTTCCAGTGGTTCATTAGCCATAAGTTGCCTAAGTAAAACAGAAGAAAACAACAAAACACATTTTAGAGAACACAGCCTCTCTCTTGGTTAGAGAACAGCAGCATTTTCTATTTCATTACTATTATTTACCCTTAACAGATCCAAGACATCTATACAGAGTGCCTGCTGTTTGACAAGACCTCAGAAAGTTCAGTTTAAGGAAAGCAGCACTCAGCAATTATTTTTCCTCCTTATAGTGGTTTTCCAATTAAATGTGTTGTTTCCCCATTTTAGGTACTGAGTAAGAGTTTCTAAGAAAAAGACCTGACCCCTGGTTATTTTTAATTAACACATTGCATAAGAGCTTCCTAAAATTCTACCAATGCCATTTACACTTTCAAGTGAGTCTGGTTTAGAACAGCCTTTGTGGTGCCATTAGACTTTGCTGTAGTGATTTTCACACTAGTTTCTGATTTGCAATGTACTTTGCCTAGATACAGAGAAATTTCTGCATTTTTCAAAGTTCCCTGACTCACCCTTGTACAGGAAGGATTGCAAAGCAATGCATGAATGGAAACATCCCTGGGAAACCAATCACCAACCCTTTCTTCACTTGAACTGACTACAAAAACTTTTAACTTACTTGCTTTAAACATATTTCTAAGGGGCTAACAGGCCAAATTATTTCCACTTGAACTCAGCATTAATTCTCAATTGCATTAATATATAGAAGAAAAATACCACTGCTCTGACAATTCTTTGTTAAGTTACACAGAACACTTGTAGGCACCTTGAACACAGTCAGCTCTTATTGAGCAGGCCATGCAGAGGGTGAGCAAAGTTAAAAGTTTAACTTGTAACCACAGCTGAAAACAAAACAAACAAAAAAAGCTTCACACTGGCCACTGTGCAGGGTGGAAGCCGCCTGGGTCTGGAGTTGGGCTGTTGGCTCAGCAAGGAAGTAAATGATCAGTGATTTGGTGACAGATGAAGAGGCAGTCAGACATGCCACTTTACAAAACTTTCTTTTACTAGCACATGGGCATGGCTGTGAAGGTTTCGAAGGATTATGTTGTATGAACTTATCTGACCATTCTGTTTCTATTCATAAACAGCTACAAAACCTAAGGGATTAGCTGACCAAATTACAATCTTGGTTAGACTGTTTGATGGTTGGAGTTTTGCACCTTGGCTAAAGGAACTCTGTAAAATAGGCTGGATTATTCTAATAGTAATAATTGTAGTTTTGTAGTAATAATTGTAATTTGTAGTTTTTGTAATAATTGTCATTGGAGAAGGAGATGTGACCTTCTCCAGATCAGCACACAGGAGTTACTGTGGTGTTTAAATGCTGGCTCATTGATGAGGCCCCTGAGCTGTGCCCACAAAATCTGCTCACCTGAAGGTGGTTCTGCCTTGGGCTGCTAGAAAGACAAAGATGTGAGAATTCCCCAGTCCTGTGTGGGATCCTCACCTGCAAGCCCGTGGCTGCAGGCCGTGTACTGTATACTTCAGTGTGCGCAGAAAATGACGAGTAAGACAGTGTATAATGTCTTAGCTGCTCGCTGCTATCCCTCTGCGCTGGACAACACGGAAACCACAGGGCAGGTACCACGGAGCATCTGTGCCCTTCATGGCCAAGCACCCTGCCTGGCCCGGGCTGCCCTCCCTCCCTCCCTCCCTCCCCGCTGTCCCCGCGGCCGTGCCGGGCACTCGCCTGTCCATGCGGCACTCCAGGTACGCCATGGCGCTCTGCCGGCACGCCGCGCTCTCGTAGCCGCTCTGCCGGAGACACTCCATGAACCGCTCCTTGAAGGCGCTGCACTCCCCTGGAACACACACACGGACACTGTAACACACACACACACACACACACACACACACAGAGCCCTGCACTCCCCTGGAACACACACACGGACACTGTAACACACACACACACACAGAGCGCTGCACTCCCCTGGAACACACACACGGACACTGTAACACACACACACACACACACACGCACGCACACACACGGACACTGTAACACACACACACACACACACACGCACGCACACACACGGACACTGTAACACACACACACACACACACGCACGCACACACACGGACACTGTAACACACACACACACACACACACACGGACACTGTAACACACACACACACACACACAGAGCCCTGCACTCCCCTGGAACACACACACGGACACTGTAACACACACACACACACACACACACAGAGCCCTGCACTCCCCTGGAACACACACACGGACACTGTAACACACACACACACACAGAGCGCTGCACTCCCCTGGAACACACACACGGACACTGTAACACACACACACACACACACACACACACACAGAGCCCTGCACTCCCCTGGAACACACACACGGACACTGTAACACACACACACAGAGCGCTGCACTCCCCTGGAACACACACACGGACACTGTAACACACACACACACAGCGCTGCACTCCCCTGGAACACACACACGGACACTGTAACACACACACACACACACACGCACACACACACAGCGCTGCACTCCCCTGGAACACACACACAGCGAGGGTAACACAGACAGACAGACAGACAGACAGACACACACACACACACACACACACATACACACAGCGAGGGCCGCGCTAGCCGGGGCAGGCCCGGCGCTAGGCCGCGCTACCGCACCGAAGTGATCCAGCGGGAACGCGCCCTTGTCCGGCGGCCGCGGCGTGAAGCTCTTGCTGCTGAAGTTCATGGCGGTGGACATGGCGGTGCTGCCGGGCGTGGGGACGCGGCGGGCCCGGTCCCTGCGGTCGCTCTCCGGTCACTCGGTGCTCTCTCTCCGCTCGTTCCCGCCGCCTGGGGGAGCTGCGCGCCGAGCGCATCGAGCGCGGTCACGTGATCGTCGCCGCCCGCAGCGGGCGGGGCCGCGCCGCCATGGACACGGCGTGGGTGTTGCTATGGAAACCGAAACGCTGTTTGTTGCCATGGAGACGGCGGCGGGCGCCATGTTGGGCCGGGCCCGGAGCGGGAGCGCCGCTGCCGTCCCTGCGGCCCGGGCTGCCACAGCCTCTGCGAAATGAACCGATGGTCACGGAACCCCGTGCCACCGTCCTCATTCCCCTCTGAACGCTCCCACTGCAACTCCCCTCTGAACGCAGCCCAGTTCTGAGCTGTCCTGTGCAGCGCTTTGGGGTCCCTGTGCGTCCGTCCTGGCTCAGGATGCTCTGGGATTCCCTGAGTCCGTCATTCGTTCCTGTGAACGGCTGCTGTGATGGTCGGGGGCTGCCGGCCTGTGGAGAGGCCCGGAAAAACGGCCTGTCCTTGGCATTTGTGCATTGGGACATGGAGGAGGAAAGAGCCAAACCTGGAGCCTGATGTCCCCAAATCCCTTCATGCAGGATCCAGCCTTGTCCAATCTTTCCCTTTTCTGTGCAGGGCTGAGGCCAGGCTCCTTCCCTTCTGCCCCAAGAGTAAATTCCTCACCTGTCACTGCCGAACCCTGGGTCCTGACCCCAAAGCCCATTTTCTGGGCCCAGCTGTGGCTGGGGTGTGATCCCAGAGCCCTGGGGATAGCTCTGGCAGGAAGGCAGGATGAGCTTCCACAGAAACCCAGCAGGGTTTTGGATGGGCTGTCCCCATTCTGCTCAACCATCAGCCGCCCATGTGGTTCCTCATCTCTCATCAGTCCCCGTGGTTTAAGTTGTACACAAACCCTAGGGACAGCACTGAGTTATTTTTATTTTATTTTATTATTCCTACAAGCACATGGGTTCACATCGTGTGGCATTAATGGTGGGGGACAGCAGTAAAACCAAGAGGGTGCTGGCAGAAGCTGGAGAAATGGTGAACTTCCAGATCCTCAAGATGTACAATAAAGAAAAAAACCCCTTTTGCCTGCAGGTTTGCAGCACAAACTGCAGATTCACAGTCTCCTTCTGAAAGGAGGATGAGAAATAGCTTTAATTTAACTCACCAAGTGTTAACCGTGGATTACACTGACATTTTTTCTTCTTTGCCCATAGCTGCAATTGGTTTAAGACAGTATTTTATCTTTCTTAAGTTGATTTTCTTTTAATTAAATGACTTAGCTAAGCAGGAAGAATTCAAAGCTGGGAAAAAAAAGAAATGAAATAGCTTCAATTTTTAAGGACAGCCATTATGGAAATATTAACGGCAGCTCCATTTAAAGTGTCTTTTGTTTATGCTTTGATTGCTTTCTTATTACAGTATTGAAATTGTAAATGGAAAATTACACCATGTTCTATTACATAAGCAACTGGTTTGCACAGCTTGAAATATAAGATTTTATTATTAGGTTTTCAGGGCTATGAACAATAGATGGGTTTTATTATACAGTAAATAGCACTTTTCCACTTGACTTCGTTATAACACTTAATGGTAAAAGGAAGATACTCCTCTTTCATAAATAAATGCAGCAAACTGTCTCCCAGATTTCAGACAGCTGAGCAGCAGGGAAATAACTTTGGTTTATCTGAACAGGTTTAACTGATGTGCCAAGGCACTTGATTTTAGCAAACTGCCCAAATTACATTCCTTCCTTGCTGTCACAGTGGCCAACTTGCTGATTTCCCATGTGATGAAGGAAGAAGTCAAAGGAAAAATGAGGTGCAGACACCCCACAGTGGAATTATTCCCAGGCAAGCAGCACCAACCTTTCCAGCTCTGTTTAACACCTTTACCTCAGTAAGGTTGTAGATGACTCCCAGTTGGGTGTCAGTGTGGATAGTAGGAAAATTCACTTCCCCAAGCATTGCCACGGGCTGCCCAGGGCAGTGGTGGAGTCCCCATCCCTGCAGGTATTTAAAAGCCATGTAGATGTGGCACTTGGGGACATGATTTTAGTGGGGAACAGTTGGGCTCAATGATCTTAAAGGTCTTTTCCAACCTAAATCATTCTATGGTTCTCTGCAAAGGCTACATCAATTTGGTATATTTTATTATATCCATTTTAAAATTTTTTTTTTACCTATTTGTTAACTTAGGGTTTTTCTTTGGAGTCTTAAATGTTGTACTTACTCAAATTCAGGTCAGGTATAGTAGCAGGTGTTTGGTTATGATTACTTAATGTTTTTATTGCAAATGCCAGTTGTACCTTCTAGAATTTCCTTTAAAGGTACAGGTTCTCATACAATCTAATACACATGCTTCAGCAACTCAGGATAAATTTTTCCCAAGGAGATCAAATAAAATCCCTATTAGATAATCATTGTGAAGGAAAAAAACCTCATTTGTGGATTAAACCAACCAGTTCCAAAAGAACTCAACAAAAACAGAGCCACAAACAGCAGTGCCACAAACAGAGAATTAAATGTTTTTCACATATTATCTTTTAAAGGAGCAAGTGACTTTGACTGCATCAGGGAAATCTGAAATAGCTGCTTCAGCAAAAGGGTGCTCATTGTACAAGAGATATTAGATAATTCGTGGTGTTTCACAGTATCTCTAGCATGGAGTCCTGAGCCCTTGCCAAAAATTGAAATCCTTGAATTAGAAGATTTTCCAAACTAGGGAATATCTTGGCTTTTTCCCTTTTAAGTTACACAGCTTGATACACTAAAAAAAAAAAAAAAATCCTTTGCTTGAATCAGACCTTTCATCATTAATATGGACTGAAGTAACATTTAAAACTGTTCTTTTTCAGTGTTTCAGGTAGTGCTGAAAACTCACTCCACTGGTGGTGTTTATCCATCAGCTGGACAAACATCTCCCCAGAAGGAGTTATTACACACTCACCATTGCTTTGTGGAAGCACCAAATTGAGTAACACTTCAGAGAAGAACCTTTATTCATTTTACAGGCAGGGAAAAGTCCATGACTTCCATTATTTTCTCTCTCTCACCACGCTGCCTCTCCTAAGAGCCTGCAGACTCAAATTATCAGGTACTTAATTGGAAAATAATTTATTGACAAGCCATGAAAGGCTCGGAGTAAAGCACCAGGGGATTTCATAGCTTGACTTGGGATAGCTGTAGGAAATTAATGAGCTGAACAAGACCAAGCACATTCAGATGCTGGAATTTGCGCCCTTGAGACTGCTGTTCCCAGGCCAGGAGAGAACACACCTCAGAGAAACATCCTTCCAGGATCACTCATTGCTGCCTCACCTCCGCCAGCTCTTACATAAGGCTCTTGCTCCATCACTGCCACAGGCTGTTGTAAACCATTTTTCTCCCTTTCAATTCAGGTTCCTAGACAAGCAAAAATGCAGAATATTGCCAGAATAGTCTGGGGAATGGGGATTTCTGTTGTGGATGATTAATGAAATATTATTGTTTTGCACTTACAGGGAAATTGTAGTTTCATGCCAATAAGGTCAGGGCCTTAATATGTTATGTGCTCCATAAAGATGTACAGAGTGATAGCTCATTTTCTGTTATTACTGAGCCAAAGCCTCATCAGTTTAGAGAGGAATGTTGTAGAAATGGCAGCACTGCACTGAGAGGTGAAACAAACCTTCATCTTAAATTGCTGATTGCAATTCTGGTCCATCTAAATCCACATCTCCACCTGCACCAAGAGAGGGGCCCAAAAGGAAGATGCTGGGACCCTGCTCCTGCAGAAACCAACTAATCACCCTTCATGATATGCCTCAAATTTCCCTTGGATTAACACAATTTCTGCAATATGTTGTTGAGAGAGACAGAAGCCATAGACCCAGAAAAAAAAAATCCTTGGAGCTGTGTTGAGGCATTGGATTTATCAGCTGTATTTTGAAAATCATCTCTTCATAACCCAACTTACTCAGTACTCACCTCCCAGGTCAGGCTGCCTTGACTTGGTGGTGTAAATGTAGATCTGAAAGATCATGACTCTAGCTACAGTTACAAGGGATTTTACTGCAAATATTTTTGTAGATATGCATATTAAAAAGTGCAAAACCAACACCAAAGCCAAGGATCTCCCATGTGTTTTCTCACTGGGTGAGACTCATGAAGGAATGGCATCTATTCAGTCCAAGAAGGAGGCTTTTAAAAAAAACAAAGTTCCCAAGAATGGTAAATGCTTAACATTTGGAAAATGTTAGTATTTAAATAAATAAATGTTAGTATATAAAATTAAGTGGGAAATATTCTCGCCTTAGACTCTGCACAGGGACAATGCACTAATCTCATGCACAGATTTTTTTTATTTTCTCCCAATGACCAGACTCATCACATATAATCTTTCAACTCAGAACATGGGAAAAAAAATCAACCCAGGAATCTCTTTTGTTAAAAAAAATTGCCATGAAATAAAGATTTTAAAAAATATTTTTTCAGGAGTCTTTCTTCCCAGAGTAGATTTGCAGCCCACACTGGTTTGACAGACGAATGAAAAGAAATTAAAGAATCATTTGTATAAAAATGAGCAAAGTGAACACTTGAGAACACTACCCTGTAGTGATCCTGTAGAAACACAGATCTGCAGGGTTGGGAAGAAGTGGGTGTAATCCAATAAAACAATGCAATAATGATGAAAAATTGAAAGAGGTCAGAGTCGGAAAGCTTTTGATTTCTTTTTGCACTGGCATTTGTCAAGGCAAGCAAAATCCATTAGTGAGGAGTAGCCTGAGTTTTAACACATCTGGGTCTTTAAAAATGTTAATGTTTAATAGGGTGTGCTCAGGCTTTAAATGTCCCTGATAACAATGCATGGACTGATAGGCATCTCCAGGGGCTGTAAAGCAGTGGCAGAGCCTTGCAGGGCACACAGGCACTTGGTGCTCACTCTGCTGGTTTATGATGTTATCAGCAGTCATTGACTGAATTATGGCCTTATAACAACCCTTTCCCTGCATTATCCTACAGTTACTGTAGCTCTGTTCACCTCTGTGCCATGAGGAGGTGATGTGACCTTCTCCAGATGAGTTACTGAGGTGTTTTAAGGCAGGCTCATTGTCCAGGAGGAACTGATGAGTCCCCTGAGCTGTGCCCACAAACTGTGCTCACCTGAAGGGGGTTCTGCCCTGGGCTGGTAGAAAGACAAAGACGTGAGCTGGGAGCAATGTTTTACCTCAGTGCTGTGTGGGATCCTCACCTGCAAGCCTGTGGCTGCAGGCTGTGCTCAGGATTGCACCCTGGGAGCTGAGGGATGTGAGAGCATCACATTGATTCTATTTTAAAACTGCAAAGATTCCCTCCCTCTGGAGAGCTCATCCCTCCTTTCTCCATGGCTTCAGTCCAGCAGGCTGCAGGTCCAGGGGCTCACTGCTTGAAAAAGGGCCTCACTCCATATTGTCACCACAAACTGAAGGCTTAGGGAAGGTGATTTTCCTTGCTCTGGCAGCAGCCAGCTCTGCTCCAACAGAGCTCTGTGTAAACAGCAACAGATTTCCTCCTTTGGTACCCAACTGGCCCCATGCAGGGCTTTTTCCTCCCTCTTACTGCATTTTATAAAGTCTCGGGAGTCCCAGTAGTCACACCATTTGCTCAGAGAAGAATCTGGCAGAACAGGATATTCTTGGAAATGTCTGGGAGAGGAGGGTGCAGGCCAAGACCTCTCAGCTGTGCAGCAAATCTTGAGATGGATGTGACCATCCAGTGCCCTCCTTTCTTTGCCCACCCTGCCTGCACAGGAAAGTTCCCCCTTGTGAAAAACTCCACTCCTGATAAACAAGCCTTGGAGAGCAGGCAGATCTGCAGGCAGCTTTTTCATGTCAATCTAGTTAGAGTTTATTGATTCCCCTTGCCTTTGGCTAATGTACTTTTATTATTATTAATAAATAATCATCATTTTCCCATCAGTGTAGCCTGCACCCGGGAGCCTTGGAGAATTCTAGCAAAAGAATTATTAAACTAAAGATTTCTAAAGGGTTCAACAGCAGCACAGCCCAGTAATCTGCCAGAATCTGCAACTGGGGAGTAAAATATCCCCACTGGAGAATATGGGATAGAGCATCAAATCAGCTCCTTCCCTTAGAGCCACCATTTCTACAAGTGGCTTCCTGCTCTTGGTCATTTCTGCTTTGTTGTCATCCCCCAAGGATGCAGAGGTGGGGGTGGCTCTTGGAGCTGTCACCTGGGCACGTGGGCTCTTGCTTGGGCTTGGGGCATGACTCAGTCCCTGCAGGGCCAGAACTGCTGCCATGTGCTCCTCCTGCCTGGCACCTCCATCCTCTGCCTGGCCAGCTGCAGCCTGATCCTGGCTCCTCCCAGGTTAGCAGGATTCAGGATCTCTTTCCCAATCCAGGCAGGATTGCCTGCAGGGGACAGTTTCTCCTAGAGGATGGCATGCAGCTGTTCATAAACAGAGGGAGTCATCACCAGCTGCTGAGGCAGGCTTGGCCATCCAGGCACACAGTTCTCTGGGCACTAAACTGCCAAACAGTGACAGATATTTTGGGATTGCTGGTAGGGGATTCTTGGGACAAAGACAGTAACAATGCTAGCAATAAAAAACACTGATTTGCTCAAGGAGGTGATTTAGTGGGGTGGCAGGAAAGCAAAAAGAATCAGAGCTGTCACCTGTAAGTAGATCTGCTGTCATCAGACCTGTCATCAATCCTGAATTAGCACATCTTCATCCCACCATTCCAGCTTGTCCATGGTCAGTCTTGTCCTGCCCAAGGGCTTGCTTACCCTGGACTGTGCATTGTTGTGGGCTTTGCCTCCTGTGTGCTGCTTCCTCCATTGCATCACTGGGGTCCAGCTGAGTCCTGTGACCTGGCACAGGGACAGCATCCAGCATGGCTCCTGTCCTTGAGTTCTGACCCTGAAATCACATAGAGAACAACATGCCCATAACACAGATAGTCACTGGGAAACAAACACCTCGTCCCAGTGTTGTAGGTGAAATAAGAGCTCTGGATTATGATAATCCATGGTTCAGAATAAAAGAGGGTGTTTCATCTGGCAGGAAAATGGAGTACATCTCATCTGAGTGGATGTAAACAAGTCTGCAGAGCCCTTTTCTCTGTGTAAACCACTTCCCCAGAAGGTGTGTTCAGGCAATGACAGAAGGGCTATAAAGGGACCCCGAGATGCTCCTGCCCTCAGCTGCCTCTGGACATGGCTGTGCAGAGTCTCCTGCAGTACCTGGGCTCCTGCTCGCTGCTCTGTTTGGCAGCAGGGCTCTTTGCTCTCCTTTACTTCCTCTCCAGCTCCAAGAAGTCCGTTTGCAATTTGCCCCCTGGGCCACAACCTCTTCCTGTGATCGGGAACCTGAACGTGGTGGACCTGAAAAAGCCGTTCCAGTCGCTGACAGAGGTAGGGGCTGAGCCAGCAGGCAGGGGGAAATGTGCAATTCCTGCAGTGAGAAATGCAGCTGGGGAAACAGAGATGTGGTTCTGCTTGCTTTGTGTGGAGGGCAGCAATGAGATATGTGGCACACAGGCAGAACAACTTTACCTTCAGAGGCGCACACACACACACACACAAACACACACACACACCAACACACTCTTGTATTTATATATATGAACATAAAACACACACTCCTTTCTTTATACACACCCAAGTGTAGACCTCCCACCCCTCACAATCTACTCCAAATTGTTGGTGTTTTGAGCCCTTCAAAGGCTGCAGGTAAAAGACTTGTGTTGCCATCAAGAGATGTCTCACCACCACCAGACCTCTAGGAAGGATGGGTGGATGGAAGGGATGAAGCAAGGAAAGGCATCATCCCCAGAGGGACAATTTTTTTTCCCAAAACTAATTACATCTCTGCAATGCTCAGCAGGACTCTGCCTTCCCAGCCCTCCCCCTGCACACACTGCCCAGGATGGTTGAGGACTCAATGCATGGATTTTATATGTCTAGCTAATCAAATTGCTTTTTCTTACACAGCTCCATGGATATTTATATTTCTAAAAGAGAAAGAGAGGAAAAAAACCAAAACCACTTAAATATTAAAAAGCCAGGGGCAATGTTTGTTTTAGAAAGTGTCTGCTGTGTTCCCACAGGGACCTGGGGACAACTCAGTGGGAATTCAGATTTTATCTGGTTGCTGTAGAGACAGTTGAGGTGCTGTGAGGGACCTGTCATATGCCCTGTGTGTGTGCTGCTTACTGGACACTATGGTGGGGGAAAGCTGGTCCCCAGAGAACTCCTTCAGCCCCTTGAGCATCTGCAGTGGGAGGGCAGTGCAGACACTGCAATCCTCCTGTTGGCTGTGGAAGAAAGGGCATCCTGTGTTGCTAAAGCACAGGCACACAGTGCTCATCTGCCCTGATTTATGGGGCAGAGGATTGTGCACAGATCAGTTCTGATGGGCTTCTGGTCCTGAGCTCCTGGATAGGTTTGAAGAAGTCAGTATGAAACTATTTATGAACTATTTTTGGCAGTACTGGGGGATTTTATGATTGTGATAGCACCAGACTAATTTCCCATAATCTACCAAGGAGCTTTATTTGGGCTTTCAGGCCTGCCACATCCAATACTTGTGCTGCTGAGTAAAACCAGAGGGGCTGCCAAGAAGCACTAATGCAAGGAGATGGCCAAAGGAAGGCTCAGAGCAGCTGTGATTTCCTGCCCCTGGCTCTGCCACTCGCTCTGTGAGCTGCCAGGGATGGAAGAACCAGTGCTAATGTTATCTCCCAAGCCGTCAAACCACTGCTTGATGAAAACAAATTCAATTTGTCTGGTGTAATAACAGGAGCTGCTTCTAATCTGAAATTCAATTTATGGAATCTATCTAATGCATAGAAAATGGTAAGCCAGGCACATCAGAAACAAGAAGACATTTGGAGGGGATGGCTTGCAGTGTGTTCAAATGAAGCCTAAAATACCAAGTGAATGATTAGCTTGTCAAAGCCACCTTTCAGGGTAACAGATGATTCATTTTTAATTTGCTATAAATGCCTAACACTCCTGTGACATTATCTACCAGAATATGCTTCCTAGTCAGATTCAAGTTTCTGGTGGCCAGCAAATAATTCCATAATGACTGTAACACTACCCACCTTGCCCTAATTAGAGACAAGTGCTGTTCTGAAAGAAAGAGTTATTGTCTGGCTTTGTTTTTGCAGGGTTTGTGGCTTCAGCCTCAAAGGTGTGTGCACGCCTGCTTGCCTCAGGTCACCAGCACTACAGCAAACAGGCCTGCCTGCAGCAGCATTCTCTAGCCAGTCTCACAAGGTGGTATTGCTGGTCTGCTACTGCAGAACACCACAGGAATGCAGTGGCACTTTATTGACTCCCCTGATTGGGGCAGTGATAGCAGACACCTTGTTGTGCAAACAGGGTGCAAGCAGAGATGCTGGCAATCAATAGCTGCTGCTCACTGCTTGAATTACAGCAGCACCTGGAGACATCAGGCAGGGCTGGGAGGCTCCTTTTGGTCTAGAAACCACCTAGAGTGGCCAGTAGTTGTGTTTGAGTCCAGATCTGGTTTTGAATTAACATATTTACTCACCTTGACAGCTCTCCAAGATCTATGGTAGCGTCTTCACGGTGCATTTTGGACCCAGGAAGGTCGTGGTACTGGCTGGATATGAAACCATCAAGGATGCCCTTTTAAATCATGCTGAAGAGTTTGGAGAGAGGGCAGAAATACCCATATTTAGAAAAATGACACAAGGAAATGGTAACTGAGCTTTTGCTTGGCTAAGTTTTGTCTCTGTTCATTACATCCTCACAGTAGAGAGTACTGTCCTCTTACAGATCACTTTTTGTGATCTTAGGAGGCACCAGTGTGTAAGAAAATTTATGAACCACAGGTGTCATAAGGATGTTACACCTTTATTTTAGGCATAGCATTCAGCCACGGAGAGATGTGGAAAACTATGAGAAGATTTACCTTGTCCACACTGCGAGACTTTGGAATGGGAAAGAGAACACTTGAGACCCGAATCCTGGAGGAAGTAAATTCCCTTATCAAATATTTTGAATCCTATCATGGTGAGTGTCAAGTCTTTCATCCAGAGACAGAGAACAGGTCTAGCAGAACAATAAAGATTAATGAAAGTTTAACTCTGAGCAAATGGTATCTCGTGGTTAAAGTTCAGCATAAAGTGCATTAGGTTATTGAACCAAGGCCTTAAAACACTGAAACAAAATTCCCTGCTATGAATTCTGGGTGGGGAATGAGTTTTCTTTGGGAGCTCAGGACTACATTTCCATAGGAAACCAGACTGAAATGAGCATAGTCATTTTGTCATTTGTTTTCATTGCTTGAAATACAGGGAAACCATTTGATACAAAAATGATTCTCAACAATGCTGTATCCAATGTCATCTGCTCTATATTGTTTGGAGAGAGGTTTGAATATGATGATCCAGTATTTCTAACTTTGCTGAAGCTGATAAATCAAAATACTAAGCTGTTGGGCTCCCCTATGGTGCAGGTAAGAGCTTAATTTTACGGTTTTTGGGGAATATCCAGTTTCAGCATTTGTTCTTCTGGCCTCCCACATATTTCCTCTTGGGAACAAGAACATTATCAGCCAGTCAGCCTGTACAGAACACATCTGTGGTTCTGTATCTGCAATGCACATATTCACAGGCTCCTGCACTTACTCGGTCAAACTTTTTAGTAAAAAAAAATTTAAAAAATCCAAACTTCACAAAACAACTTTACCCTCTTTGAAGAGCAGAAGCACAATCCCAAACCTGCCTCCTTGAATTACAGAAGGAACATTCTATTTCTGCAGGAATCCAGAGTTCCTTGGACTGTACAAGGGGGGAATTATAGCCTCTAATGTCAGGGCATAGGAGAAGGGACCAGCAGTGTCATTTGAGATCCAGTATGTGTTCAAAAATGCCAATTAACAGTAAAACTTGTCTTGCAGTTATATAACTTCTACCCATCCCTTGGATTTCTGTCTGGAGCTTCCAAGACTGTGCTACAAAACATCCTTGAATTGAATGCTTTTCTCCAGAAGCTCTTCCAGGAGCACAAAGAGGAGCTTAATGAAAATGACTTAACAGGCTTTGTCGATGCCTTCCTGGTGAAGCAAAACCAGGTACTTTAAAGCTGGGTCCCAGTGCTTTTCTATTCCCTTCTCTTAGCTCTGACTTAGGACTGGCCATCTGTCAGGGACTGGCAGGGAGTGGAAACCCAAGAAGTGCAGTGAGCAGAATATATCACACACTGAGCTGTGCTGGATTTGCTCATGGCCCCACTGGAACTGCTGGTTAAAGGGATTTAGTTGTCAAGACATCCCATGAGAGGGAAATAAGTTCCCACTCAGCACACATAAGGAGGAGATCATCCCAAACCTTCCTGCAAGAATGGTACCGGGATAAACTGTGCTGCAGTAAACAAATTCCAATTCATTGGATTTTTTTCTAATATCTAGACTTGGGGATTACACATATTCTTGGGACCAGACAAATTCTACACAGCATAGGTCCTAATGCTAAAAGACTAAATATTCAGTTTTCCAGCACATATAAAGTCACAGAAGGCTAAAATGCAGATAAAAATGGTGGCAACACAGTCGCATATGGGTATCACTTGCTGTATTACCCCCATGTTTTGAAGGAGTCAAAGAAACCACACACTGCATTCAGCAATGGAAACCTGATGTTTTCAACCCTGGACCTCTTTGCTGCTGGGACTGAGACCACATCCACAACTGTGCGCTGGGGGCTGCTGCTGATGATGAAATACCCAGAAATTCAGAGTAAGGAGGACACATCTCTCGTACAATTTATTGTTGCATGCTTAAGGCTTTGGTTGTGAAAGGGAGTGGAAATCATTCAGTGTTGCCTAGAGTAATTATTCTCAGTGCTGTGAGAGAGACAGCAAACGTTGACTTTACAAAGGAATTTTATTCAGCTGGATTGCAATAAACCAGCCCAGCCAAGTGGGAGAGGCTGAGGGGCAGCCTGCAGACACAGTAAAGCTCCTGGTAATTCACCTGCAGGCTATGGGCTTACGTCACTCAAGGTCCCCTCAGGAGCTGATTCTGATCTGGTTTCTGTTGGAGGTTATGGGGTAACAAAGGTGTGTAATGAGAGTCAGGCATGAGATGTAGTGACTCCATTCAAGCTGCCTTAGCTCAACAATAAACCTGAAAGAACCCCACCATGCTTTGACTTACCCACTTCTGCCCTTCCCAGATATTTACAGCTTTCCCTTTTCCTCCTCTCTGCCAAACTGGTAGCCATTTCAGTTATAAGATGAGATTGTTATCAGCTTCTTAATCCTTTCCTCCCTCCAAGGAAAGATTCAGGAAGAAATGAACCATGTCATTGAACCAGGAGAGCTGCCTAAGTTGGAGGACAGGAAAAAAATGCCTTACACAGAAGCAGTAATACACGAAATACAAAGGTTTGCCAATATCGTCCCCATGGGCGTATCCCGATCGACTCCCAGAAATGTGAATTTCCGAGGCTACGTGATTCCTAAGGTGAGCTCTGAGGCTGCCAGCTTGTGCTACACAGATTCCTCACAGCTTTCTTTAAAGCAGATGAAGAAACACATAAATAACTAAAATCATGGTGATGCATGGTTTAGTCTGTGCTGTGACCCTTTGTCTCAGATCCAGGATAATTACTGTAAACATACAATGTATTGTGGTCTGGTACAGTTGTTTGAATCATGATTAACCAGAGATTTAATTAAATCACACTGGTTTGAATCTTTTTATGTCAAATGTGGGACCTCTACCCCAGAACCTTTGTTGAAAGATCTGACTGTGTAAGAAAGGAATGTTTTGTGGTCCAAAAAATAAAACAGCAGTTACTGAAAACAGACAGAGCCACGATGGGGCAGAGAGACATTCCCCAGTTCTATCAGTCATATCTTATTTGCCCCTTCACATTAAGAAAAAGAACACAGTCTGTCTCATGTAAGGGAGTGATCTCCTGTTCCATGATTTCTTTGATCCCTTTCAGGGTACTGAGATTATTCCACTGCTGACCTCTGCTCTGAATGACGAGTTACACTGGAAAACCCCGCATCAGTTCAACCCTTCCCATTTCCTTGATGCCAATGGGAACTTCATTAGGAGAGAAGCATTTATTCCATTCTCCATAGGTAAGAGGGGTGTGAGTGCAAGGCAGCTCCCCCTGATTTCAGGAAGGTATGAAAGCCAGGGACACAGAACAGAGGGTAAAGGATTTCTGGTCATTTCTCCTATCCACCACTGCTGTAGGTAACCACCTCTTCTTTGAGAGAGATGGGAGACATGGATTTACTCACAGTCACTGAACAATTTCATACATCTACAGACTTCTGTGTAGTTTGGGACCAAATCAGTAGCACTCTAATATACACAGAGAAGGAAGGGAAAATTTCCTACCTCAGCAGCCTGCTCTTCAGACTATCTCCTGTTTAGAAGGTCTCAGACACCATCACTAACAGTTACTGTGCTGACCATTAACTTCTCCCCTGGTTGTTTTCAGGGAGAAGGGCTTGCCTTGGTGAAGGACTGGCCAGGATGGAGCTGTTCCTCTTCTTTTCGGGCTTGCTCCGCAGATTTGTTTTCCAGCCTCCTCCAGGAGTGGAGAAGTCAGACCTGAATCTCACTGCTGATGTTGGCTTCACCTTGACTCCCATGCCTCACCTGGTCTGTGCTGTGCCCTGTGAATGATCAAACAGCACAGCATTAGAGTAGTGAACACTTCAAGCTTTAAAGCAAATCTAGTTACAGTGGGGAAAAGCTGTCCCTGAGCTTTAGGGGAAGGAGACATCAGCACTGTTACTTTATTTTCTCTCATTTGTGACATCCTCTCCAACAGCTCTTGCAATGTCTGTATAATGCAAACCCTTCAGACAGCTCTGAGTTCTGCTCTCAGAAACTGTGATTCATTCCTGGAACAGCACATCAGAGATGCTGTTTTCAGGGCAGTTTGAAAGAGTGAAATGCCTTCAGACCTCCTCTGTAGATGTAACTCATCAGAGCTCTCCCCTGGCAGCCTCTATGGGGGATTTCTCAGCCCAAAGTCCAAGCCCTGTAGCAGAGCTGATTATAAGTGGCCCAGCTGGAGACAAGAGACACTCAAAGGATCTGGAAATCTCCTCAGGATGGTTGTTCAGCTGAGCCTCAGACTGAGCTTCCATTGTGCCACACAACCTGCCTTATCTTTATTACAGAGTCCCAGACACAAGGGTGTAACACAGGCTGATGCCAAGACCCAGGCACGGGACAGTTATCAGAAAATATCTAAGTGCTTTGGGAAATGGGTTCTTTCCACCTCACACAGGCAGTTCATGCTGAACAGCCCATTTATGATGGGGCCAATTGAGCAGTTTTCTGCTTCTGCAGAAATGCCTAAGAAAGGCATTTCTACCACTCCCTCACCTCTCCTGGCTTCATGCTGGCTCTGGCACTTGTCCAATCCCTTATTAGGCCATCTTAGATCCCTAAGCTGGCAGAAAATGAGCAGCCATGGCAAGGGAAGAGTTTCTGAATCAGCTGAAGCGATACCAGCCTGCGGCAGGGCAGTGAGCTGGGGCTGGGCAGGGACTGCCACGCTCCAGCAGAGAGCTGGGAGAGGCTCAGCCCCTGCTCCCTGCTCCACCTGCACCTCAGGGGCTGTACTTGCTCTGCAGATCTTCTCTACCCTTCACAGAGAGAAAGGCTCCTTCAGGGGACGAATCAGCTGCCATAAGGTTGTCATTTCTCACCTCTGCACTGACTGCAGGGTGAACTATCATCCACAGACTCCTAATTCCAGACTTCAGTCTCAATTACCAGGGGTGTTGTGATGAATAGGGACAGTATTGTCCATTCAACTGAAAATGGGGCATAAAGCTAAAGTTACTGTTGTTTAAAGCTGAGCTGTGTGCAAATGGAAGGAAAGAAAGGAGAAAGAATATGAAGGGATGACAAAGTACAGCAGCCTCTGGCCAAGACACTGACTCTCCTCACTACCTTCAGTTCACACAACTAAAGGCAGCTCTCTCCCAGTGATTCTGCACCTTCCACTTGTGCTGGTGTTGCCCTTGGTCAGGGCTGTACCACAGCCCCAGCTGCAGCTCCTGGGCTCAGCTCAGGGAGTGCTCTGTGACAAGGAAGACTCTGCTGCTGCGCTTGCCTGCGTTTGTTTTGCTGTTGCTCTGTTTGCAGTCCAACTTCTGCAAGCCTGACCTTATCACCTACTTAATCATTAAATATTTTGTTCTGTTGCTGTTGATCTATCTGGTGTGACAGTATGCAGTTGATTTCGGGTCAAACTGATAAAGCTGGGCTGCACCACCTTCAATATCCCCTGCACGAGAGAGGTGAGCACAGGGATCCGTGGGCAGCCTGCCGCCAGGACATGCTCAGGAGCACAAAGAGTGACAATACTGACAGCCACAAACACCTCAAAGGAAATATTCCATGGATTCCATGGATTTCTAAAAAAAAATTCCATGGATTTCTAACTCCAGAAAATCCCAACTGCTGTGTGAGGCAGGACATGGCTCTGCAAGGCTCTCTGCTGTGGCCCCTTTCAGTGGTTCCTGTGTCTTTTGCCCTTGCTTACAAGGAATCCATCACAGTAAAAGCCAGCAGGAATTATCCAAGGCTGCACTGCTATTGAAGAATGGGACTGGCAGGGGAGGTGCAGAGATTTTGGGGTGTTTAAGTTAAAGGATGCAGGGCTGGTGTTTTAGTGGCCCAGGCTGGCTGACTGGCAGTGCTGTGGTTGCCTTTAGGTGGCCTATACCCAACATTCCACATCCTCACCAGTACCACCAGTCACAAGCGGTGGCAGAATGCCACATGGGCATGAGGGATGGAGGACAACTGGAACAGGAGCACCTTGAGGGGCCTGGCTGCCCCAGGAATGCACCCAGAGCAGTGTCAGTGCCTGGCAGGTGCTTTGTGCTCGGCTCTGTGTGCTCAGACAGGGCAGCACGTAGCAGCTCGGCTCTGGAGCAAAACACAAAACACGTAGCAGACACATCAGTGAGACAGGAATTTCTTGTCATCGCAAGACTTTTACTTCCCTTTGTCATTTTAATGCATTGCACTCAGAGCCTGCCTTGGAAAAAAACCACAATACACTCCCCTTGGCTTTTCAGAGATAATTTAAGTCTCTTTCTGAAAGGCCTTTTTATGAGTTCAGAGGCTCCCAGGGCAAGGTGAAATACCAGGAGAGCAGCAGCAACACGTAACTTTTGCCCTGCAGGGTGCTGCTGGTCCAAGAAAACCCTGCAGGAACAAATATTTTGCCCAGGCACAGAGCATGTGCCATTGCAAGTCCTCATGGCAGTGCCCATGTTGTGCATCCTGTGCCAGCCATGTTCCTTCCTGCCTGTCTTTACAGCCCCTCTGCCTCTTAGCTCATGGAGCAGGCAGGGCTGAGTCATCCTAGGCATGCTCTGGGGGAAAACGTTGCCTCCAGCCCATTTCTTGGAAGCTAATAAAAAAATAAATCTCAGAAATGTTGCGACACACTTGCTGCTCCTGCTTCTGGGTGGCTGTTGTGCTGCAACATCTCCTCACCACACAGGCAGCTCTGGTGAGCGCCCAGGAGCCGTTCCCTCCAGGACCCTGCTGACCATGCCCCACTCTGGATCAGATCCACTTCCTTCCCTGCCTGCTTTGCATTTACAAGGCTAAGGACCCATATTTGCTGAATAATGGCCTTTATATGATCTAACCTTTGGACAAATGTACCTTTAGCCTTGTGTTTCCTCATCATGTAAGACAGCTCTTTCTTCCCTGAGTGATCGTATTCCTTTGGCTGGTTATGCCAAACTTCCTCCTGAAAACCACTGTGCAACAACTAGGTAACCTCAATTATTTTCTAAGCAAGGCTTAAGCCTTGATAAGGATGCAAGCTCCAGGTGTTTAGTATCTTCAACTAAAAATCATTCCATTCTCCTGTCTTGTTCCCCTTCTGGAGCCTGCCAGGTCAGCTGGCTTCATTAATTTCGTTAGCTTCTTCCCTCTATCCCTTAGAAGCTGCTCTCACAAAATGAAGTCCTCCCAGAAGTTTCAAATCTAATTTTGTCTTGCCATTGCACTCATGAATCCACTCATGATCACTTGATCCAAGCTAATTTTCTGTGGCTAGCTATTACATGTCTTCCACCTCAGACACAAAGTCTGAAATCACATCCCTCCCGGGCAGTTCAGAGCTGACTTTATGAAGGAGTTTATGGGCTACAACCCCCCAGGGATAGCTGGGCTTTACCATTATTAACAACCTTTGATCTCCACTTGACATCAAGACAGCCAAAGTCTCCTGTAAAACTACTGATATTTTTCTCTAGTAACATGGAAATCTCAAATCCTACCTAAGCCTGAATCTGGAGGTTCTAATAGGATTCCAAGAGCCTTTTTATTTCCCTGTGTCAGCAGAGTGCTTGGAGGGTCATAGTACTGCTAATGAAGGACCTTGAGGTCTCAGGGAGGAGGAGGTTATAGAGGAATGCCAAGCACCTTTTCCCATGTATATGTTCTTGCACACACATGCACGGGTTTGTAATTTGAAACTCTCTTTACTTCTGGACAGGCTTTGCAAACTGCTTAGACCACATTCTCCGAGGTGTTTAAAGAGGGTGGAGTATGCAGTATTTATTTAGGTACTCTACAAACCTTAATAAGAATTGAGTGCTTGTAGCAATTGCAGAGAGCAAACAGAGAGCCAGCTGGCAGAAACTGAACAGTGCCACTGCATTTTTATTGCTTCTAACCCCAAAACCCAGATTATTACTAAAAAAAAAAATGTCTTTTTTAATTTCATTTCTCTCTGATCCTGCATTAGTTTGTCTGCTGTGTGCAGCAGTATTATTAGCTGTGGTCTATTTTTCAACTGGCTATAAAAATTCAGCTTTTAAATTACCTCCTGGTCCAACTCCTCTTCCGATCATTGGTAACCTGCACTTGGTGGATCTTAGAAGGCAAGATAAATCACTAATGAAGGTAGGACAAAAAAATCCTAACCCAGACCCTCATAGATTTTAAAGTTGCCTGGGATGTATCAGTGATACTTTTTTGTCTTTTTTAATTCAAACTAAATTGTAAAGGTGTGAAAATTGCTTTATGATATCTTTCTGGGTTTCTTCTAGTCAATGTCTGTGTTGGTGCAATGTAATTTAGGAGCAATCAACCATTAAAAAAAGACCTCTGGGTAATATGGGATTTCTTCATGTAATTGTGGTGATGTACATGAAGTCTATAATGCTTGTGGGATTTGAAATATTAATTTGACAGCTTGGACACCCAGAAATCTTTTAAAGCATTAGGATATAACTAACATAAATTAAATTGCTTCCCTCTTCTATGCCCCGGAGATCTGGCAAAGAGGAATTCCACAATGCAGTGACCCCAAAACTGCCGCAGAGAGGCCAAAGCCAGACTCTGCACTGCAAAATCCCTTTCCCTCTGGATGAATGGGACATGCATTAAAGTCTAGATGGCAGTGCAAGAGAGAGATGGGAAAACTGTGCTGAGGAACAGAGTGAATAACCTGTGAGCTCTTCCAATAACCTGTAATTTGGAAAACTTACCCCACTGTGTGCAGGATGAGGCTTCTCCTGGGGCTGCTGGGCATTCCCGCCGGCTTTAGGGTATGGTTCCTTTGGGATGGTTCCTTCAGGATGGTTCTTTTGGGATGGTTCCTTCGGGGATGGTTCTCTCGGGGATGGCTCTGC